TATTATTTATATTATATTTATAAAAATATTTATATATAAATATTTATATAAATTTCGTCCAAATCTTTGATAGTCACTGCAATACAAATTAATAAGAATTATTAGAATTTAATTTATTACACATAGATTATATATCTCATATTAAATATTACCAACAAGTAAAATCTTTTCTTTCAAACAGCGATTATAAGTTTCTTATTGTTAGTCGCACAACGTAAGATGAAAATATGTAAGTTATATATACGAATGTAAGTTACACATACAAATGTATTGTATTCTACTTATACTTCTATGCACAATTAGTTAAGTTTTTTTTACAAAAATATTAAAAAATCACAGTCATAGATACATGAAAAGAAACGATCGTAGAATTTAGTTTCTTTTGGAATAATTGCGACAATAATTGTGTAATAAATAAATGATGATTATTTAAATGTCGAAAATGGTGATGTCGCTTTTTCTGTGTGCTCCGATCTCAAGCGTGAAATAATGATTATAGAAATTCGATTACGAAGTGAAATATTATCAATTCAATAAATCAAAAGTACAATTTATATAACTTCCATCCTAAAAATATTCTTCTTTATGCACGCGTAGAGAATTAATATAGAAATTTGTTTGAGAATTTCGAATCCCATATTACAGAATAAATTGCTGACGCGTCTCGTGGAATCGCTCCTATCAGTTCTTCGAGCTTTATGATATTGTTGCATGCCGTTCATTCGTACTTAGCCTCGATCTCAAACCGAATAGCTGTAACGCAACGCGAGTCTCTCGTCGTAATTTTCGACCCTGTTTTACGCAATTCGGATGTCACCTAATCACCGACGCTCTGCTTTCTTATCGCAGGAGCGGATCAACCGGAGGAGTACGATGCCCTGTGGATGTTGGAACGAAAGGCGCGCAGCATTGGTCAGGAAAGTCAGGATTCCCTTCCGTTCTCAAGCAAGACGTACTCGTCGTCAAAAGTACACGATACCTTAGGAGGTGGTGACGATTATCCGGTTCAGATGTATAGCGGAGACTCCTATATGCCGATGATACAGACTTTACAGACCCACTATGTTTGTACCGATTGCGGCAAGAAATATAAATGGTTAGACAGTCTGAAGAGGCATCAAAGGGTGGACTGTGGCAACAAGGAGAAAAAGTTCTCTTGTCATGCGTGCGATCGAAAGTTCAAGTATCGATATGAACTACGAAATCATATTACCGCACATCACTGCGGGTGACTTTTTCTCGTGGAAAGTTTTCCTTTTCGAAAGTTCGCGGACTAAAAAAACGTGATCTGATTTAAAGACCGACAGGAGTCACGATGAAGATCTCTGTTGGAGATGAATTTCTCTTATTACGCTAAAATAGTGAGAAAATCCTAATATAATTGTGATATTCGTAATTGGAGAATGTCTGTATGTTGCTAAAAAGCGATTTACTTATTTAGAAAAAAAGCACAAAATAAAAATTCGTTCTGATGTCCTACTCGATCTACACTATCCAAGCAAAACAAATCATTTTGATGTTATCGTGACTTGTTGTTCTGTGGGTATAGTGTAGCTAAAATGCAAATAATTTTATTCATTATAATATTTTTAATGTTCAAATTGCAAAATTTGGCTCTTTAAGAAGCTTCACAGTTTTATAAAACATAAGCCAAAAAAAGTCTCATGGCGAAATATTATTGAATTTCATATTGAAATTTATATCAATTCACCCATTTTCAGTATTATTTCATTAAGATTTCATTATAATTCGTTAATATAATTTAATACAAAATATTGTTAATACAAAATATTTAGCTTCGCGTTAGTGCAAAAATACAATGCATTTGTACATAGTTTTATACGTATTCACCAGAATACATGCGAAAACCATGTACAATTATAAATTTGATATATCTGCAGATAATTTGAGCTTCAGTTATATAGGCCTGGTTATACAGGGTGTCCCATTTTAAATAATGCATTAAGATTTCTCAAAAACTATGGTAGATACGGAAAAATATTTCAAACAAAAGTTGTATGGTTCGGAGAGGGACATAAGAAGGTACTATTCATTTGACCTTTGGTAGCGTCGCCAAGGCTAGGTCAAGGTCACGTCGATTTTTTCAAATGGAACCCCCTATTTTTCATTACATTTTCTTGTAGCTTACCTCGAGAGCTTTTCAAAACACTATAATAAAATATTTTTTTATTAAGTATTTTTTATTAAGTATTTTTCGAGTTATAAGGATCGAAAGTTATAGTACAGCCAGCATTAGTATTAAGCAAGTTGTCCGGCCGACGACTAATCTTTTGAATGTTGTCTTGGATAACATTTGTCAGGAGCAAGGCCATTGGAGGTTGTACCTCTTATTTTCATTTTTACGTAAAAATGAATTTTTAGTGCAAAAATGAAAATAAGGCGACGCCACCCAAGGTCAAATCAGTTGTACCTTCTTATGTCCTCCTCCGAACCATACAACTTTTGTTTGAAACATTTTTCCGTATCTATCATAGTTTTCGAGAATTCTTAATGCATTATTTAAAATGGGACACTGTATAATGAATTGTATTAATGTTGTTCAGGCAACCAGTTATACCACTATAATAAAATATTTTTTCATTAAGTATTTTTCGAGTTATAAGGCTCGAAAGTTACAGTACAGCCGGCATTAGCATTACGCAAATTGTCCGACCGACAGCTAAAACGTCTTGAATGTTGTTCAGAATCATGTTCTGGATAATATTTGTCAAGATCAAGGCCATTGGAGGTCGCACCTCTTATTTTTATTTTTACGTAAAAATGAATGTTTAGTACAAAAATGAAAATGAGAGGTGCAACCTCCAATGGCCTTGATCTTGACAAATGTTATCCAGGACATGATCCTGAACAACATTCAAGAGGTTTTAGCTGTCGGTCGGACAATTTGCGTAATGCTAATGCCGGCTGTACTGTAACTTTCGAGCCTTATAACTCGAAAAATACTTAATGAAAAAATATTTTATAATAGTGGTATAACTGGTTGTCTGAACAACATAATTAACTTCGTCAAAATTAATTCCATTCCAATTCTCAACAGATTCTGCAATAATTTTCCCTTTCGAAACTCCACTGATAAACTTATTTCCGAATGGCTTTACCTAACAAAAAAAATTATTAATGACCATCCGAATCTACTCATTATGAATGCTGACAAAGGAAATGTTACTGTTGTTCTTGACAAGGATATCTATGTGTTGAAAATGGAGGAGATTCTTTCGGATGTAGACACTTACCAAAAAATTGAAAAAGATCCGACGAATAAATTAACTCAAAATTCGGGTATTACTCACAAGATGGAGGTGCGAGGGTTTCATTGAAGAATCAAAATATCGAAGATTGCATACAACGGATGGCAATATACCTAAAACTTATAGACTAACAAAAATTCATAAAGCTGGTAACCCACTGAGAGTAATCATTTCATCTATTAACAGCCCATTATATCATCTCTCACTCGATTTACACAACATTATTAAGAACAGCATACTACTAGCTCCCAGTTTCATAAAGAATAGCTTCCATTTAGTCGACAAATTAAATGACATATGTATTGAAGCCAACTATGTTTTAGCTTCTTTTGATATGGTGCCTCTTTTTATGAATATTCCTATTGATTTAGCATTAGATAGCGTTATTAAGAGATGGGACCATATCTCCACGAAGACAAACATTTCTAAAGATGAATTCATTATTGCTGTTAGAGTCTTGTCTTAAATTTTTTTTTTCTTTCAATCATACATTTGATCAACAAGTTTTTGATACTCCAATAGATTTCCCGTTGTCTCCCATAATTGCTGATATTATAATGCAAGATTTTGAAGAAGTGGCAATCTCAAAATTATAAATAAAACAAATTGTTTTATTTTAGATATGTTGATGACATCATTCTTGCACTTCCATCAGATACTATCAACGATACACTAAACATTTTTAATTCTCTACACACAAGATTACAGTTTACTATGGAAGTTGGTTTTAACGATAGATTGAGTTTTCTTGACACAACAATAATCATTGACAATCAGAGAATTATATTTGATACATATCATAAAGCAACATTTTCTGGCAGGTTCCTCAATTTCCATTCAAATCATCCTCTCTGTCACAAAAGAGGCACAATCATTAGTTATGTAGACAAAATATTCCATTTGTTACCTCGGTTTCAACAAAAAAATCTAACGAATGCAATCCATATTTTTCTCAAAAATACACAATAAGCAGACTACTCATAATTTTCATATCAAAGAAAAATTTTTTTCCACCTTATGTAAAGTCGATCTCTAAAAGCTTTTTATCTATTTCTAACATGTTCCACTGCAAATTGGCTTTTTTCATTACCAATACTTTAAAAAGTTTTATAAAGAAGAATTGGAATTGCTCTCTAATCAAAATGTGGTATATAAGATCTCATATGATGATTGTGAGGTCAGCTACGTTGGTCAGACTAAAAGAAAATTGAGTACTAGATTACGCGAACACATTTCGGACATCAAGAAAAAAACAGGTTTTCCATCTGTTATATCTGACCATCGAATCAATTTTAATCACAATTTCAGATGGAATGATGTGAGAATTTTAGATAACGAATCTTCTTACAACAAGAGATTGGTGCCTGAAATGATTCACATTAAAAGACAACGACATGGTTAAACAAACAAAATGAGATAAAATCATTGCCTGAATCTTACCTACAAAAAAATCACACAATCTCCCTCTCTCCTTTATAATTAGCTTCTATCCTTACATCCCCTCCTACCCCCCGTTCCTCTACATTCCCTCTCGCCCTCCATAGTTTCACTTCCCACTATTTTCCAATATTACTTTACCTTCCTCCTTCGAATGTCAATTTCAAATTTATATATCGTCTTTAAACGCTGACAAGAAGTAACATCGGTTTTTCACTCTTGTCGCATTGTCTCCAATTTCTGATTGAGAATTGGATAACATATTGTAGACTACAATAAAATGTATTGAGGATTTTGCGGTTTAATTTGTTTCTATATTTTTATCAAACGTACATTTTTACGACGATTTGTGTACAACGGCTTTAAAGTGCACTGAGTGCGCACCAGCTCTGCCAGTAAAAAACGCTAATAGAAAGCACGACTAAATTTTATATATGAGAACCGACATCCAGCGGCACTCGTAGGAAGATCAATTCAACACTTTTCGTCAATGTTAACTGATTTCATTACTTTTCAGCAAATTTCATTACAATCTTTCAACTATTAATTCCAACATTTTAAATAATTATTCTGTTTCCATTTTTCGGGGTAACTTTCATTAATAAATCTGTAAAAATATTGTATATTTTGTTCTCATTTAATTATTTTTCAGATATTTTCATTCATTTTTCTATGAATTTATAATATTTCAGCATATTTCAGTATACAATAAATTGTAAAAGTATTATATGTTTTACATTACTTTTCATTTTTTTGCATTTTCAATAATTGTTGTTAGGATTCATGGTACTCGATATAATTCAGTGTTCAATATCTTTGAATAAATTAGCATGTATCTATATTAAATATATGTGAATTATTTTTCGTTACTCTTCATTAATTTTCATTGTATATATAATTATCATTAAAATTTATAGTATTTCAATATTAAAAGTATTATTTATGCTGAAATATTTTCAATAATATTTCGATGATTTTCATTTCTCATTTCAAAGATTTCATTATTGATTTCAACAATTTCAACTGTTTTTTTCCATTAGAGATAAGCCAAAACAAGTTTCTCATGGCAAAATATTTCTTCTATAAGACAATACATGATACAGTACAGATATGTATCTGTACTGTAAATGATGAGTTTTGTCGTCATTCCTGTCGGCCCTTAAGCTTTGTGACTGCATCTCGAAGCGACGCTCAAAATATTTGTGATCGAAATTTATCAGCAATACATCGATAGAGATAGGTTTTTTTTTTAATGACATTCGCTCCGAGAAGATTTCTTATTTATAAGTTAGATAATAATAAATATTATAAATTATTTATTTATTAATGTTATAAGAACAAATGATCTTTCATCTTTCTATATGTTGCAAAAATAGAATATCAAGTACGTGTATAATCATAAATTATTTCTATATTGAATTTGTTACATTTTATAATATTGTATCTTAATCATTATTAAAATTTAAAATTTGTTATATATAAAAGATATAAGATTTAATTTAATTTCCGAAAATTCTTTGCGAAGCAATGAATTGTTTTGTGTTTTTATGTCATTCAATATATGTAAAAAAATAAATTATTATATATTAAAAATTGAACTGAATAATTAACAAAAAATAAAGACATAGAAAAATATACTGCCATATTACTTTTAAAAGAAATATTCTTCTGCTTTTTATAATAGCGTTGTTTTTTAGCGACAACCGAAATTTTATTATATTTTCCAAATTTTATATTGTGATAATTTAACTTATTTATTATTTTAATTAGAGTCATTATATCGTCACAATATCATGTATATGTATATATATAATGTTCATTAACTTTATTTATATTGATCTCATTATAAACATTCTATAAATAGAACTAAATGAGTTAATTATATTTTTTTAGTTACATGTCCTTATTATAGACTCGACCAAATGCAATAAAACTATAGTTTCCATTAGCATTTTTAGTGCGAATAATGCAACAGACTAAAAATATTTTTAACAAACAAAATGTAATTTTGCCTACATATATTAAATATATCGAAAGCACGTTTCAAGGAAATGAGAACAAGTTTTCTCCCTCCTCTTATGAAAAAGAGATCCTGTAATCCTATAAAAAACCCAATCAAGGATGCCTTGTTTACAGTTGCTTTTATGGTGAATGGCTACGTGTAACTCAACTCATGCTGTGTATGTCCGTGTCTTTGTCGTAATCCCGTAATAAATAATTCCTTCTAGACTAAAGTGTGATCGCCAATCCCTATGGCAAAAGGACGTAATAATTCTGACAAAGTTTTACTGATTCTCTTGTGTGTTTTCTAGAACGCAAGCACTCACCAGGTGACGCCATCGAATGGTACTATCAGTATCAAACAATGTATCTACGTCTGATGGCGGAAAACCAGTTGACGAAAGAGACAACAACGAGAACAACAGCAATTGAAAATCAAACAAGTGTTTGTCCCGATAATATCGCCACTAAGAAAATTCAAAATGGCCAACCATTGACAGAAGTCAGCAGCAACCAGGTAACCGCGAGTAATCGCGATTCCTATTACTATTGTCAACGTTGCGGTAATGCCTACACGAGACCGCACTCGTTAAACAGACATATGAAATTTGAGTGCGGTGTGGAGCCACAATTCGAATGTCCTATTTGCCACAAGAAGTCCAAACACAAGCATAATTTGCTGTTACATATGAGAACTCATCAAAAATCTTAGACCATTTGGTGCCATTGAAAGTTACGCGAGGAAAATGCGCTCTGAAAGTTTTAATAATCTTTGAAAATCTCACACATTTCGTAGTTTAAATTGAATTTAGCGCGCATTTCGTAATTTCAATTGAATTTAAAATGTGCAAGTTACATTAAAAAGTTGAAGTTTTTGAAACTTTCAAATTCTACTTCTTTTTTTGTATTGAATAATTCACAAAAGTATTTGTGAATACTATGTCTCAAATGAACATTTTCTAGACTTAAAGTTAACTCTAATTTTGTTAATTTCTTTGGATTTTTAGAAAAAGAAGTACTGTAGCGCTCTGCTCATTTCTGTTAGATGCGAATATCATTTTGTGATTAATCGTAGACAATAAATATTCAGAAAATCCAAATAATAAATATAAACAAATGTAGAGTTAACTAATAATTCACAAATATAACTGATATTTTTAGCTAATTTGTATCGATACAAAGAAAACGGCACAATTAAGCATTGTTCGTAGATCTTCATTAATTGAATTATTTATTCATTAATTGAGGAAAAAATTATATGATCTAAATATAATATTAAAAATATTTTATCATACACAAGCAGCTTTGAACTAAGAATATGTTTAATATGTATGTATATAGCAAAATTGTTTAAAGTGATATCATACGAACGAGCGAACAATTGATGGAACAACTTTGGTATGTAATTATGAAGTCTCCCAAAGAATAAGATAGGAATAAGACATGAGATAGGAATCACACACATACATACACAAGATACCTGATGTATCAAAAAGAACATCATATCAGTTTAAATAATTTTAATCTCTCAATTGTCAAATTGCAAGAAATAGGTACAAGAAACTCTTATTAAGATAAAACTCTTGAATTTAGCCTATATTTTGCAAAACAAAGTTACCACTAGTAAACAAGATGCCTTTTTAGTTGTTCTAATTAGTCAGATTTGCGATTTTGCGAATGTAATAATTATAATATCTAATTAAATTATTATAATATAATTAAAAAATTATTCCATAAATGAAAGATTCAATATCAGTAAGATTATTGGTATTGTTAAAGCCAGTAATTTTTATGTACGTAACGTGTTCAAATTTCAGTTTTTAAATCTTATATAGTATCTATATCGTATTATATATGTACATAATTAAATATGTTAAAAATTATTATTATATTTTATAAATTACTCTAGATGAGATTTATGTAAACAAATCGATTAATTTTTGTAATCAAATTTGTATAAGTTGTATGTTTGTTAATAGCAGTCTCAGAGCAAATTTTATGTTAATGTTTATAGACTGATCCACTGCCATAATGGTTTTCTGTTCAAACAATTTTTATTGTCCAACAATGGTAGACTGATTGTGAGTAATGTTTGAACTTAAACTGCATTTCTGCCATTAAACGTAGTATTAAGTTTATCATACCTATGTTGAGGACTAAATTCCATTGTGTACAAGATGTCTATAAAAAAGGTATATAAGTCAAACGAGAATTTATTTTACTAATTTACTAAATTTATTTTATTAATTCTACAAATGAAGGTAAATGTTCAGAAAAGGGGCGCCACCCCCAATGATCTTGACTTTGACATATGTTGTCAAGATCATGACCCTGAGTGACCTCCGACAGGTTTTAAGAGGCGGTCGCTGTTCATTAAAAAGTTATTAACAAAAAAGTTTGAAAACTGACGTCTCGTTTTAACCACATGAAATAAAAAATCTCTGCTTTAAAATGGATTTCCTGTTTTAAAAACAAAAATTTTCTTGCACAACATATGTCAAGATCAAAGTCATTGGAGATGGCGCCCCTTTTCTGAACATTTACCCATATGAAATACGAATGCATTTCTTCAAGACGTCTTGTATAACTGCACATATATATTTGTGGCCTGTTTGCCGATAATGAAAAGAATTTACTTGAAAGAGTTAAAGTCATTATTTATAATCAGAAATAAACTGTGATTGTCGAACGTGCAAAATGCTAATGCAGCTATAACGTGTAATGTATACGAATGAAAAACTATTTGAAAACGTGGGATAGAAGAATGTATGCTGTGTATTTCCACTGCACATTGAGTGCGACAACAGATAGTGATAAGAACATGCCTATATTTCTAGAATGTAAGAGAGTAAATGTCTATTAAGCTAGAATGCCTACATGGGCATAATTATTCGAAACGCATGGAGAATTTAGTGCTCTTTACGTGCTAATTTGTTGCTGTAATCCCGATTTTTGTGCTCAAGCCGTTTAGCCGAAAATGAGTTTTGTGCTGATTTTTAATAAAGTTAGAATGCATTTAAAAAAAATAATAATAAAAATAAAAATAATAATACTATAATTTTGTGCTAATTATGTGCTTTTAATATACCATAATTCAAATATTAGTACTTATCCCTTTGGACCGATAAATTACCCCCGAAGTGATCAGTCACTTCCCCTTACAAAAGTAAAATGCCAGTTAAAATGCATGATAGCGAAATGTTTTTAGGCTCAAATTGTTCCTCCATTTATGTACTTTCAAAATATGTACGACAAGATTTTTGTATTCATCCCCTTTGACCGGTAAATCACCCCAAAAAGTAGTACAGTAAAATTACTCAGTAGTACAGTAAAATTAGTGACTGATCGCGTCGGGGGTGATTTACCGGTCAAAGGGGATAAGCACAAAAATCTTGTACATATTTTGAGAGCACATAAATGGAGGAACAATTTGAGCCTAGGAACATTTCGCTATCTGCATTTTAACTGGCACTTTATTCTTGTAAGAGGAAGTGACTGATCGCTTCGGGGGTAATTTACCGGTCCAAAGGGATGAGTAATAATATTTGAATTATGGTATATTAAAAGCACATAATTAGCACAAAATTATAGTGTTATTATTTTTATTTTTATTATTATTTTTTTTAAATGCATTCTAACTTTATTAAAAATCAGCACAAAACTCATTTTCGGCTAAACGGCTTGAGCACAAAAATCGGGATTACAGCAACAAATTAGCACGTAAAAAGCTAATTAAATTCTCCATGTGTTTCAAATGATTATGCCCATGTTGGCATTCTAGATTGATAGACATAGAGAGTAAATAGTAGAGAGTGCCAACGAAACGAATAGTCTGAACACATATAGTATATATACATATATGTATATGTATATGTATGTATTGTATGTATATATAATATATAAATGTAATAATATTGTACATAATATGTAAATAATAATATATTATATATACATATATGTATATATACATATATAATAGTCTATACAAAGGAGTGCCTACGACATGCGATGCATGTAATAAGCTCTCTTTGTTAGATATATGCGTATAGAGACTTAAAATTTATATAGACACGCGAATATACATATCTTTGCATACATTATGTAACTGCAGTAAAAATAAACACGCATATTTTGTGATCCAGAATTTTGTTAATATTTAGATATGACCCTGCATATTAATTTCCTCTCTACTGCATTTTATTATTATTTGATAACTTATGTGTATGAATGTTAATCTTCGAATTTTTTTACGAATTAACCGCTAATGCGTGATTCTTTTGCAAATTTTTTTTGGAGTAGTTATGATAGTTCACAATCAATACTATCAATTATGTGATCATTATAATAGTCTTTTAATATTATTATTATGCGCATTACAGGGTGTTCCAAAAGTAACGATAAATCTTTCGCACAGAGACAAAATGGACTAAACCGAGAAGAAAAGTCCTCTACCATTTGACAATTTTCGCAATAGTTAACAAAATATTAATTACTAAAAATTGTCGAAAATATTGGTGTTCAATAATTTTTTACTCAAATACTATCAACTTTACAGAAAAACTGCAAGAGACAAAAATTGTTTACTTTCTTCTCATAGAGTTCTAAGAATTTTTTTAGAATTTTTTATCAACTTTTTAGTACTGCATTTTCTTATTTTTACCAACATGAGAAAATACGGTATTAAAAAATTCTGAAAAAATTCTGAAATAATTCTTAGAACTTATGAGAAGAAAATTAACAATTTTTGTCTCCTACAGTTTTTCTGTAAAGTTGATAGTATTTGAGTAAAAAATTATTGAAGACCAATTTTTAGCATTTAATTTCGTGTTAACTATTACGAAAATTGCAAAATGGTAGAGGACTTTTCTTTTTAGTTTAGTCTATTCTGCCCCTGTGCAAAAGATTTATCATTACTTATCAACACCCTGTATAAATGAGAACGTAGGTAATTATTAAATGCATGTAGCAATAATATCTGTATTAAAAGTAATATCTTAAATCGGAGATGGACAAAAATTGCGATGTGTGATATGAAAGAAATATTTAAAATGCGTATTACATAAAATATGTATATTTTTATATTCGAATTCAAATGTTAAAATGTACCAAATAGATATCGAATTTCTTTCTTAATGAATGCTAGACAAAATAAAAATGTTTAAAATAAGCATTAAATATTATAGTCAACAAAACTTGTAACAACAAAATTATATAACAAATAAAAATATATAATTAAGTCGAGGACTCTGATGATCGTTTGTCTATCCCCGATATAGTCAGATATATAATCAAACTTATTTATTTTAGAGATATATTTTTGTTGTAAAAATGCCATGCAATACGTAGCATAATATAGATTATCACACAAAAGGATCAATAGCAATAATAAATAAATAGCGTTCATAAAGAACACTTTGACAATGTATGTAATTTAGAGAAAAAACAGACGCGACGCAGAACCAAGCGTGCGTACGCAAATGGAATGAAATCTATTTGTCAGAAAAAGAAATCTGTGTGTGATAATCGCCCTGACTTGCGGCATGACTCGCTATACGCACATTCGGTGTTTTTGTTGCGTTATTTAGCCGCCTAATGCTTCTCTAGTTTGCATATGTTGACTCGTGAGAGCTCGAAAAGGAGAGAGAGAGAGAGAAAGAGGGAGAGATTGCGTATATATCTTATCCTTTCCGACGAATGTTACAGTTTGGAAGA